TGACCCCAGGGTGCTACGGGCAATCAAAGAAAGTCGACCATTCAGATGGCCAAAAGAATCTCTGGGGATATTGGAGGTTGGAATTCAAACGTTTAGTTTAAGCGCGCTCTGCGGCACCCATCAAGTGAGCGACGAGGTTACACTCAGGCAAGGCAGCACGTCGCACACAGGCGATATAAATGTCCAGCTACTTCAGTTTTTCCTGAAACTTGGTGCGCTGGCGACGACATCTGATACGAAGTTGAAGAGTTTTCCAACCAAAATTCTAGCTCCGAGAACGACCCATTCTGAATAGCCATATCTTCGCCTATAGACATTCGCCACGAATCCTACAATGTGTGAGTGGACATGGTCGAAATGAGCATGCGGCCGTAGAAAAGATCCCAGGGGACCTCGCGTACGTCGTGGTGGTATAACACCATTGGTGAGCTAAACATTGTTGGCCGTATTCCCTTGGTCATTCTTCGTCAAAGGCTAGAGCCAATACTGTGAGATAAGTCTGACGGCAACTCATGTGAGTGAATGTCGTAGTCCGTACAGTGCAATAAAAACGCTGCGTCGACATCCCCACAAACTGCCTAGCGCCCCAGAAATGCAAGTGAATCGCATGAGATTGGGTGTGTAGTGGATCCTACCGAACGCAGCTGTGGCTTGGGACCTGTTGACACAGCTCATGGTTTAGCCCGCCGTCTTCCTTTTGGAGACCAGCCAATCCAACGAAGTCAACACCCGTGGTGCCGTTCGCCGAAAATATTCGGGACAATGCATCAACAACGGGTCTGTTTGCCTCAGATGCGCAACAGGCATTGGAAATGTGGCCAATCTATCGAGTTTCATATGACGACAGCCCGTCAAACGTTCGCTCAACAGCAAACGGGGGCAGCCTGCTATCCGTAAAAGTAAAGAAATTACAACCTCCAGCCTAATGTCGAAAACGATTTATTGAATGGCAAATGGCTAAGATTTTACCACCTAATGCACTGTCCCCTGTTTCTCGTTCCTGTGGCCACCCTGAGAAAAATGGCTAGGAGCAGCTACTGGTTGGCGGTCAGATGTTGCAAGATGACCCCGGTTGATGAGCCAGGTGTACTAATAGCAATGCTCATAAAAGCACTTTGGTGGGGATGCGCAAGCATTTTTGTATGTGTGGCGGCTTCCCCAACCATCGAGAAAACATGTCTAGCCACGTCGTTCAGAGTCCTATGCCTTGTATTCCCCTGTAGTATATGTTTCTGTGGTTTCGCGGGAGGAGCACGCCTGAAAAAGAACCTTCTGTGATGACCCGTCAGGCCGCCGGAAGTGTGAATCTGACTTATGGTGGTACGCTGTCGACGGTCCAGAATAACCGTCACTTTGAATGTCAATCGACACATACCCTCGTCATCGACAGCATGTTAGAGAAAATCAAGAGACCCGACTACCATTTGATATTTGCAGGAGTCGGCTGTGATATCACTTCTTGTCTGTCAAACGTGACGTCTTGCTGTTTAGTTTGAGTGTACTTATACTAACTCTCTGTGATACCGTCACCGACGTATACGTGGACGAATTGAAACCACGGAAGAAGTCATCCATAAGGTGTTAGAATGCTTGTGCTCCATTCTGGGGACTAAACTGCATACGCCGGAATCCGAACGCTCCTAAAATCTTAATAACGGCCGTTTCCTAGATATCTTCTGCTGCTATAGGCATCCGATTGTACGCTTGACCAGGTGAATCTTGGAGAACATGTCGTTCTGCATGGGGTCTCAGCCAAGCCGTAGGTCAGAGGTAATGGATAGTAGTGCAACGTAGTTCTTGTGTTAGGCTACCAGTGATCATCGTCCGGATGCCAATCATTGCCATCCTCTTCGGGAACCATATGCAGCGGTAGTGGCAGAGCACTATCCAATGGTTTTATAATGCCCAGTTCAAGCATGCCATCGAATTCGTACCTTGTCATTCTGCTCTAATCAGGGGCTAAGCAGCGTACTTTGGATGCCACAGGTAGTTCCGTACTTGAGCCATGATAAGCATAACACTTTCGTTTATGGATTGCGGCGCGAGCGTTGGTCGTCTCAACTCTGGACATTTTTCTGGCACTGTTTGATGGGAGGATTTGACCGAGTGCCTCGTTTTAACCATGAGTAAACTCGGATCCACGTAAGTGATCTCATCATCCAATAACTTCAACTTGCTGTCTATCAGCCACTGCTGGTGGGAATCTACGGATGGTTCTCCGTCAACCATGGGGGTGTTGGCTAGAACAGGAAATCCAGCGAACACGTGTTCATAATCTTGCTTTCCGAATTCTCGATTTTCTTCACCCACCCACCTGCAGACTGGAAAGCGGGTCATGGCGACATTCATTCGTTTGTGGTGTCCACACTAATATCTGCCAGAATTTCGTTGGGATGCCGAACTTCCCTCTTCACGTCAGCGAAGTAAAGCAGACAGCTTTCTGCTCGAATGTGGCTGGCATTGACACGTGCCACGTGCTGGGAGTGTATGCTTTCGTTATCGTGATTCTTCCTGACATTTGTCATGGGACCATCTCCACTCAAGGCTGCCGAACATGCGAACCCTAGCTTGTGTTGCTTGAGTTGCTGCTACTGAATGAGACACACTGTTGGTGGTTAGAATGTTATGAACTACGGCTTTGAGTTCAGAGAAGTTTCTTAAAAGAGCTGCATAGCCCTTTGACTTGTGAATCTTGATTCCAAGGTTTTTCGTAAACTAGATATAAGATGGTGGGCTCTGTAGTAAAGATCCACAATATTTTATCGGCTGTTGCTTCCGCGTCATTGGCCACTACTGACTGAATTACCACCAACATGGTTTGCAACGGTGTTGGTAGTTTCTGGGAAAGCAGTGCTGGGAGAAGGTCAACCTCGAAAGTTCGTTGGCCAAATCCCTCTACTGTGATTGTGGACACGTGAGCAGCTGTGGTTTTCCTCGGCTCAATCTCACGGAACAGTTAATCTCAGTGTTGACAACCTGTGCTACGGTTATTTTTCAGGGCGGTTCCTTTGAGCAAGGGCCAACGTCAAAATATGCATTGTGACCTGCCTGCATAACCCTTTTGCGGTAATGACCGTATGACAGCGAGAAATCGAGAATGATGATTTTTGACGCTTTCGCCTAACAAGCCAGCACTGGCATGCAAAAAACCATTTCTTTGCCTCCTTTGACCAGTGTGGAAACGGCTGGATTGGGTGTATTCTAAAACAGAAGGCATAAGCTTCTGGGTCCAGTTTAGAATCGATGTAGAATTTTAAGTGGAATAATTAAAGTTATCAGTATGAAAATGAAGATAAACAAGTACAAAAAGGAATCGGCCCGCCAGTTTAGGAACTGCCCTTCTCCGAACTTGACAGATGCAGAGGTCAATCATTGATTACTCCCATTTTTAGCTTTCCTATGAGTGCGAAGTCGAGAAAGAACACACTGGAGTATCGATGTGGAATGGCATACCTGGTAGGCTCTGGGGCAACACTAACTCGTCCCGGCTTACTGACTAGAGGATAGCATATGAGCAGCACAACGTAGCTTAACAACGTGCCAGGTGACGTGGAAGTTTGACTGTGCTTCCCAGCTAGTGAAATCCGCCAGAGACGTGGGGGACAGAACCAACGTCGAATCTCCTAGGGCCCCAGACTGTCGATTTGAAGGAATTGTTTCCGCGTCATGTTTCTCGGTTTTGAACGTCGATTCAAAATGAGTCAGTAGTTTGCGATCTGCATGAACCCATGTCGGAGCAACTCTCATTGATGACTGCAGACGTGTTGAACCTGGTGCCTACGGCTAACGCTCGGAACAACCTATTTTAGATAATCACAACCTAGCAGGCAAGAAGGCAGTGATAGTAGCACAACGTATTCATATCAGGCACCCTGGTGGCAAGCGAAGCGGGCAAACTTGGACAGGTAGATTAAAAGTTATTCATCATTTGCCAGAAGTCAGTGGTGAATACAAAGTTTATAAAAGATAGAACCTTATATCCAAGTTTGCTGGGCACTGCATGAGTACACTTAGGACGAAGTGCTTGGTAGGCGTAACCTATGAATTTTGCTGATAAACACTGTTTGTGTATGGCGGTTGCTAGCGATCCGAATTGAAATGCTGGCATTTGCAGTCGTCATAGTTTGATAATATTGTCGTGTGAAGGCATATATCTGAAGCAGGATATCTGTGGGTCAAATTCTTCCTGTTAGGTGTACATTTTTGTACTGATTTAGATGGATTTATTTCACCTAGATCGGCAAGTGTTTCCGGTACACATAGGACAGAAGCTGTATGAAATTCGGTGAAGGTTGGAATGAACGTTTGCGTACACTCAAAAATTACCAAGAAACTCACAGAGATAGGGATTTTGAATGACCTGTTGCATTCTATATAACACGTAAAACTTGCCCCACCGCCACTAAGTAATGTCAGTTATACGAAAGGCAGGTGATAAATTTGGATCAAGGTCACTGGATAAGCCAATCATGGTTGTACTTTTACCTGAATTAATGGTGATTAATGCTACTTGGTTTAAGAGAATTCAGGGACTGTCCTTATACGACCTTAACAGACGTGGAGGCAAACCACGGATTCTTCTGACCCACAAAACACTACTGGGCGATAAGCCAGGAAAGAACACAATGGGGTTACCAGGTGGAGCAGTATATTTCACTGACCAAGCGGCAATACCAACTCGTTTCGACTAACTCGCTAGGTGATCGCAAATAAACAATGCACCGTAACATGGTGATGCGCCAAAAAGCTTGCATATTTGATCATATTCCTTCAGCTTAACTACTATATTAGGGATGTAACATCCGGCATCAATACTGAACATCTTCATTCTTTAGTTTATTGAATTCAGGGGATTATTTACGGCTACAAAGTTCACCCTATTTCGACTAAGTCCCGTTCATAACCCTTGGTATCTTATTTGTCAGTTTCGTCTCTTCTATGCAAAGATGGTGAAAACAGTAAAACACTGATAGCATGTCGTATGCAGAAAACGATCCATAGCAATTCGTGACTTGTTGTTTGAGTGAATTTGTTTGTGACGCGGGACTCCTTAGTTTCAGTTTCCCAGTTGAGAGTTGCCATGTCATCTTTCCGGGCAGCCAAGTTATCCTTAGGGCAGTTGCCAAGACTAAATTCATGTGTGAGTCCAGCTGATCGTGATATATTTTCTGTAAAAACTTCAGGAATTTTGGTATTTTACTTTCAGCTGCGTCCCAGGATTGTTTTGACTATTAACATCTTACCAACTTTTCTGAAATATCTGTAGTTTTTATGTGCTTCTATGACATTGTAGCAGGACGATTCTTGTTCTGCATATTTCGATGGTCAATCCATAGACTTCAGAAAAGGTGCCATAAGCTGTCGTAAATCTATGGTTATTCAGTAGGGTGGTTCAGACTGAAATTTACGAGGCTGCCTTTTATTCAACCGGTCCATCCGTAGTTTCGTTGGTTTGAGCATTATCCATCACTGTAAGGGCGTGAATTATGTATCAGACTCCTCTCTTTTAGTATGATTGAAGGTTAGTGGATCTATCATCAGATCATTAGGAATGTTAAGTTCCAGCGATTATGTAGTTAGATGGATCTTGGCATCTTTCATTTTGTCTGCTTCATTGTTCTCCACTACAATGTAAGACCGAGTGATTGAGCTTCATAAATTGAGGAGTATATCTGAATGCTGTGTGGTGTTTAGACCATCGTACTCATGTCCTTCATTTTGCTAATACTTCAACGAGGTTAGCGTTTACTCACCACCATTGTCAGTCTGCCACGTCTCACATTGAAGCACAAAGGAGCATAGTGGTTAGTGAAATCAAGAACGAACTAATCAAAAGTAATAGAAAGTCATCCGCCTAAAAGCATATGAGTAAGGAAAGGAAATTAAGTGTGACCAATGGGGCAAGATTATGTATGAATGCATCTATTACACTGGGATCGATCCCGTGCCTTATTACACTGTCTCCAACCGCTGATTTCAGTCGTCATGTGGACCTCATCCTGGAGGTTTTCGTTGCTATGTCCAGCAGAGGTCAATGACCTAATGTATCGGTGCCATGTTTTATTTTGACCGCCTCTAGTCTTTATCTAGCCCAAACTTCAACCAGTGATCAGCTGGCTTAGTGCAAGTTGTTTAAAGTCATTTTCTACTTCTCCCTCGTTTGTAGATGCAACCAGTAATATGGTTTCAGGATGGGGCACACTCAACATGCACACGTGCACATTTACTTGGCATCTGTGACGGCAAAGCACGGTTTGTATTTTCGTGTGGCAGCTATTAATTAGTTGGGTGGGTATCAAAGTTCTAATCTTTTAGGGAGAAAAACTCATTATTGCTTTGATAACGGACTGCAAGCCCACGTTAGGTGTGCAACCAGCTGATTTCCTTAACTGGGTTTCAAATTTCTGGTAAGCAGCTTAGGGCCAGTTGTCAAGCCTGCCTGTGACGACACTTGACAGTAAATTCAAGCATGTTACTATTCCCACTTGTATTTCATTGCCAATATCAGTCTTCGTCAAACGGTGACGGCTACTTCCGTGTAGCCGAGCCTGTATGTCACAATGACACTTCTTCCCTTCGATGTCCTACCATATGAGGAAAGTATGTTGAATATTGGTTAAACGAAAAGCAGCTATTAATGTAATGTAAATTGTAATGCTATGATAGGAGTTGAAGAGCGGAGTCGTACTGCAGGTTAGGCTGGAGTATGGCAGCATCAAGATGTTTCCTGCGGATGACTGTCAGTGCTTCACTGATGCTGCCTTTCCTGTGGATAGCAGTTAGGTTAGAAATGTCACCAAAAATAGCACTCCCCCTACCCTTTAGTCTTCCAGTGCTTACGGTTTAGGTATAGCTGTGTGATAGCCTTATGCATTTATCTCATGGGCTCTGCAATCATGAACGACCACCACCATTTCAATTTCTTATTAAATTATCCCAAGAAGTAACGTTCAGCGGCGTAAGCAGCTAGTAAGTATCAACCAATCTCACAACATAGTACCCGATTTCCTTCTGATCATTACCAACTGGTAACATCACCTCCCACTCTTTCTCCACTCTCGTTTTATATGTTTACTTCATCTTCGTTTTTTTCCAGCCCTATAGCTCTCTATAGCGATCCAAGTTCACGGGACAGCACTTCCGATTTCTTGAAACCCCACTGCAAACTAGATATTGGGGTTTCCGATATCCAAGCCTTCCATTTTAATTTGTTGATTATAAATGTCACACACTGGAACAGTATAATTCCCTGAAGAGCGTTTCAGACAATTTATTGTCCGTATTCATATTATGGTATGGTATCATGATACAAACATGGACAGTGGGATTACTGGCTGCCGCAGTGCTCAAGTTTTACTGTTGTATTAATACAAATGTCTCACTGAAAGGCGTGGCAAGTAGGTACTTCCCTGTTGAAGGCTCTGTACTTGAGCAACTGTTGGGGTATTGGAGTCAATGGTTAGGTATTAGGTGAGTTATGTACTTCGAACGGTGTCCGTCAAGTATGTTCACTCTCCCCATTCTTACTCAATTTTATCGTAGACGTATTTATAATGGTCTCCTTCCCGTTGTCTAACTTCACAGGGACCAATCTTATCGCAGAAAAATCCTTGGTATATCTGGAGTACGCAGATGACCGATTACTACTAGATGAAGACGCTGACTAAAAGCCGAATCTTCTGATCACCTTCAGCACATGCCTTTCTTGCCACGTAAACGGGAATTCTTTCTCCAGGATCGCTCTTCATTCATGCACTGTTTAACAGTAGGGAGTGAAGTAGTTGAGTGCGTTGACGACTTGAATTAACTGCGAAGTCGGATAAGCCCGAGTGGGTCAGTGACTGACGAAATCTCTGTGTGGATACAAAAGGCTCGTTTGACCTCAAACCTACACCGTTTATGATGTCGCTGTGATGTCTGATCACTTGTTAAGGGTCGAGCGTACTGTGCCACATTTAGCCCTGCATGGCTCTAAAAAGTGTTTTTCGAGGTAAAAAAAGAAGTTTGTTCTCAAGTGTTTGACCACCATTGCATTCGTACCATAAGCCGTAAGTTGTAGTGTTACCACGCTAGTGCCTTAAAGACCAGACGTAGAGTTTTAGGTTAAAGGGGTAAGTCAGTTGATGAGGCTGTGAATCTTGGTCGGCCCCTACATGAAATCGATGGCAAGGTCTTAGGAAACTGGAAATGAGGTATCGGTGGCTTTGATCGTTAATAATGGTTGCAGAGTAAAAAGTTGGTTAAGGCGTAAGAGGTTTGATATTAGTACCGGGAGGTGGAGACAAGGGAGGAGACAGAGTTAAGGAAGATGTTATATATGATTGGGTTTTGTGTACTACTGTAAGCGCGCTGGCGGTTGATACTTCCCGGCTGCCTACACCATGAAAGGTTATTTCTCAAAGATTTTTGTGACCGCAGAACCTAGAGGACATCTACTTGAGGCCTCTCACGTACGGCCTTTTTGATGCCGTGACAACTGGCTCAGCATAGATGTAGTTGGACATACTTCCTGCGGTTTTGGATTACCACTGATGACTGATATAAGCCACCATAAATGCACCATCTCGTTTAAAAACGTTATAGGGGTAACTGCTTTTTGTCTAACCACCATCCAGCAGATCTTTCAGGTATAGTAGGACCTCGAGGAATGAAGCGCTACACCAGTATATCTCGTTGGGTCATCGTGGTATGCGAATCCTACCACGTCAAGGTAGCAGCTATCGGTCGGGTGTGTAGTTGCAGTATATAGAAACATAGTTATTTTACTTGTGTAGTAACTGGTTTATTTATTCACCATATATGACGTGTCATCATTATAAGTACCATTCATAACCCAGCACTTAAATGCTTACTGGGTTGTTTTGTATTTTTATTGGTTATATTGTTTGTTGGCGACTTTTTCGAGTGTCACTCTGTAGGGTCTTTAATATCAAATAAAGAACTTACTGCTTTTGTCCTAGTCACTGTTATGCCGAATGAATCCATCTTCACCTCTGAAGTTTCAGTACATACTGTCCTCGTATAGTCTCAGTAGACGCATACGGTAGTAAGACAGTCTAAGATTTTGTTAGTCCTACTGTTTCACCTCGTGTAGCTTGAAGACTTCACTAACTGAAGCGTTACCATCTGTTCTGGGGGAAATCTAGTTCCTCTGTACTTCACATGTAGATCTTACCTTGTCCCAGGAATACCTCAAGATGATGTCCGGTGTTTATTTATCGGGTGCACTGCAAAAGCAGACCTGTAATTTTGACAGGCCCTAAGACTTTATTTAAACCTTAGATATGACTCATCGCTTTGTAACATATCAACCTAGTTTGACTCCTACCATAATTTGGATAACCATCTGATACCACTAGTCTCTGAAATAAATCATGTTAATGGCCTAGCACACATCTATACGTGGTTTGTTCATCAGCATTAACATAAGACCAGGCATTACTCCACAACGGTTCAGGTTACCACCTTATATCAGCACATCAAGCAACAAAGCAATGAGACGAAAGATGAGGAAACAAGAGAATTGATTAAAAGCTGTAGAAAGCAACAAATTAGGGGAAGAATGAATAAGAAGATACTGAATTCAGTATGACGATTAAGGTAAAGATAGTGTGTCGATATATCTGCACCAATGAGATCGATTCTGAGTCGTCAGCTAGTCTCCAACCACTTGTTTTTGTTGTCTTATGGACCCCTAATGGGAAGTCTACATTGTCCTACATGGTTCAGACCAACAGTCAAAGACTTCATGCAGTGATGCCACGCTTTATTCTGGCTATTCTGAACCTTTTTCTTCAGCCTAGTCCTATATCGACTAACATTGCGCAACGAAGTAAACGGTCACCCGACATGCGTATCAAATCCCAGCCAGCTGAGCTGTTGAAGGTTCACAACTTCATTGACTGACTTTCCTCTTCTGTCTGAAACTCTACGCCTGACTTCTGGATTACTGACATTGTGGCACTACGACGGCCTATGATACAAAGGTAAAATTGGTTGAATACCAGAAGCCTTATGTTTTTCACCTTTAGCCGTGCAGTAGAACAGAGGGAACTGCAATGCAGTACACTCGATCCTTTGTAGGCGGTGATCCGACATCACGACGACGAAAACCAAACTAGCCTTTTGTATTCGTGCGGAGATTTTGTCCCCACTGACTCACCATGGCCAATCCAGCTTCTCAAGTAAATGAAGTGTTCAACGCATACAACTCTAACTCTTTGATAGACGGTACACCGTCACAAACCAGCCCTGTAGCAGAATATTGCATTTGAGTGACAAGAAATATGCCAAACATCCACTAATCGCCACTTAAGATGTCCGCAAAACGGCATCTTTTCGGCGTCTTGAACTAACAGAACTCTATCATCTGTGCACGCTAGATATGCTAAGGATTTTGCTGTGGCTAGATCGATCCCTGTAAAGTTAGTATGAGGAGACCTCCATAAGTATGTCTGTGATAAAGTTGAGCAGGAATAGACTCACCTCATTGAAGGCTCTCTACTCGAACACTTGTGGGCGTGTTAGAGCCTATGGTGAGATGTCCAGGGAGGCATCCTCATCGAGTGGTGTCCGTCAAGGATGCCCACTGTCTCCATTCTTGATCAATTTCATCATAGATATTCTCATGGAGGTCTCCCTCTCGTCACCAGGTTACACAAACGTTGACCTAATCACAGGAAAGTTTTCGTCTGACCTAGAATATGCAGATGACATAGTCCTGTTAAGTGAAGACTCTGGCAAGATGCAGAGTCTTCTGAACACTTTGAGTGGGAATTAGAGAATGTTCGGGATGCGGTTCTCACCACCCAAATGCGAATTGTTTCTCCAGGACTGGTATTCAACGGTGTCACGGCTAACAATAGAGAGTGAAGTGGTTGAGTGTGCCGACCACTTCACTTACCTGGAAAGTAGGATCAGCCCTACCCTGGTGGGTCAGTGGTCGACGAAATCTCTGCATGGATACAAAAGGCTCGACTGGCTTTCGCCAACATACACCACCTATGGCCCCACCGTGATATCCGTTTGTCTATTAAGGGTCGCGTGTACTGGACAGCAGTCCGCTCTGTTCTACTGTATGGCTGTGAAACATGACCATTGAAGGTGGAAGATATGAGAAGGCTTCAAATGTCTGACCACTGTCGCCTTTGTAGTACAGACAGTATTGCGTGGTGTCACCACGTGAGTAATGCAGAAGTCAGGTGTAGAGTTTTAGGGAGTAGAGGTAAATCAGTTGACGAGGTTATGAACCTTCATCGATTGAGATGGTTGGGACACGTACTACGTGTGCCTAGTCACCGATTTCCTCGTCACACAATGTTGGCTGAGGTGGGTCCAAGCTGGAAAAAGGCTCGAGGTGACCAGACTAAAACATGGCACCAATGTATGAAGTCTCTGACTGTTGGTTTGAGCCATGTAGGACGATGCGGACTAGGTGGTTGGGGTTCGCGGGACAAGAGGAACCAGTGGTTGAAGACCCTAGGTGATATGGCTCAGAATCAATGTGAGTGGCGCAGGTGTACACACACATTATCCTCATCTCACCACTTTGTCATTCTTCCTTTCTGTCTTCTCGTACTTTATATTTCTTCCGACTGAATTTTCTTATCTTCATCTTGCTCCTCACTACCTTTCTACTTGATGTGGTGATATGAGGTGTGGCAACTTGGACCGTTACGCAGTAATGCTTTGACCTATGTTGATATTGATGATGATGACTGATGAACAATCACCGTATTCAAGTCACTTGATACCTTGTCGTAGGCTATGACGTCCCTACGCGTGTTCGGACGTAGTCCCTTCAACGAGGTTACTGACGTTGTTAAACATCGCCTTCAAGTCAAGGAATATAGCTAGTGTCATGCGAGTAAGTGTAGCTAGGTTCCAGAACCTTCTTTTCAGAGTAAATATCTGGTCGACACATATCTTGGTTCAAAGCGTTCCTAGTTTTCTCCGGTTTGCGATCCTTGAGCTTCACTTAAATGTCTGGTAGTTATAGTGTAGGAAACGAGAAGACTGAGACACAGGAAGGAATGTTTATCATTAACATGTACAGTAGTCATCAAATATTGTACGCTTTCCACTAAGACAGTCATTTGCGCAATGTGCTTCATTTCCTCTTCTGCTTCTATCTTGGCTTGCTCTTCATACTCCCACATTGTCTCGCGTATCTCTCGGTAAAATCTTAAATTATTGCTGGTAATTGCCTATAATTTCTGCCGCCCTATCAACACATACTACTTATATCCATTCCAATCAGCAGCGCCCACTACAATTGGACCTAGGATCTTAGACACTTCGTCAGACTGCTTTCTTTGTGGTTATCACAGGAGGATTTCTCTATCTACTTGGACACAGACAATCAGTTGTGGAAACTAGTCAGAAGAGGTCACTTCTGATTCCTATATGCCAGCTAACATCTTGGAAATCAGGGGTTTTCAATTCGATAGGTCGTGGCAGTCTTCATGAGCAAATTCCAATCAGTGGGTTACGTATCCGAAACCCGCTCCACTTATCAGCATCACTAACCCTCACAACAGATGTGGCATATCGCCGAATACACAAATCATGATGCAGTCTGAGTGGGAATTGGTCAACATAACGCACATACGTTTAGTAACTATCTTTTTCTAAACTACGCATAATATGATAAAATAATTTAGTTTCTCATGGACTGATGTCTATTCTATTTCTTCAGATGTCCTTTATTGCCTCTATTTCTCAAGGTTGTGATTTGTTACTTTGTGTGAGATGGTTTATAGTATGTTTCAGTCGTATATTTGGTAGGTAGTTGCCATCTTAGCGTAACAAACGTATGGTCTCGTCATATCTGCTCCAAAAAGAAGTATTTGACAGATTAATAAGTTTGTCGTTAATTTATCGTCTTTGATATCTTCTAAGCGGTGTTATTGTTCAAACTTTTTACTTATCCTTCTTATCAAGCTTGTGTTTCGTATGGCACGAGTTTAGATCCCACTCAGTCTTTTTGTTGGGTTTATAGATATTTTTATTGTTTACTTAGGAACTTTCTATATTTTTCAAAATCAGTAACATCGTATACTGGCGTTTGGTAGATCCATAACTATTTCTTCTTTGCAGGTGTTCAAGCAACATGTCTCCAGGTTAATATCTACCTCATCACTTCGAAAGGCTGGGACCCCAGAATTCTCTAGTATTTTGGAGGAACGCATTTTGGGACAAAGCTTACAGACAAACTTAGAAGAAACGGGTCGTGTGTTAAGCATTGGTGATGGAATTGCTCGTGTTTATGGTCTAAAAAATATACAAGCAGAAGAAATGGTAGAGTTTTCATCTGGACTTAAGGTTTGTCGATACATGCTTATTTTATTGGTTCTATAGGGCATGGCTCTCAACTTGGAGCGTGATAACGTAGGTGTTGTCGTCTTTGGGAATGACAAACTTATCCGTGAAGGAGATATCGTCAAACGAGCAGGAGCCATTGTTGATGTACCTGTCGGGGAGGAATTACTTGGTCGGGTAGTTGATGCTTTGGGCACACCAATTGATGGGGCCGGCGCAATCAACACAAAGGCAAGGCAGCGTGTTGGAGTGAAAGCTCCTGGTATTATACCTCGCATTTCTGTCCGCGAACCCATGCAAACCGGAATCAAGGCTGTCGACAGCCTTGTTCCTATTGGTCGCGGTCAACGTGAACTTATTATTGGAGATCGTCAGGTACGTTCACACTTTCCATTGATTTCCCCTATTTTTCCAGACAGGTAAAACAGCTATTGCAGTGGACACTATTATCAATCAGAAACGCTTTAATGATGAAAAAGATGAGAAGAAAAAGCTGTACTGTATTTATGTTGCCATCGGTCAAAAACGTTCAACAGTTGCACAGCTAGTTAAACGACTTACAGATGCAGATGCTATGAAGTATACAATAATTGTATCTGCAACAGCTTCTGATGCAGCTCCTCTCCAGTATCTGGCTCCATATGCGGGATGTGCAATGGGTGAATATTTCCGGGACAATGGAAAGCACGCTTTGATCATATATGATGACTTGTCTAAGCAGGCAGTTGCGTATCGACAAATGTCACTATTATTGCGGAGACCTCCAGGAAGAGAAGCTTATCCTGGTGATGTATTTTATTTGCATTCTCGTTTACTCGAGAGGGCTGCTAAAATGAATGATTCCTATGGAGGAGGTTCGCTAACAGCTCTTCCCGTTATTGAAACTCAGGCTGGTGATGTCTCTGCATATATTCCCACCAATGTCATTTCTATCACTGATGGGCAGATATTCTTGGAGACTGAACTGTTCCACAAAAGTATACGACCTGCTATAAATGTTGGCCTTTCTGTTAGTCGTGTTGGATCCGCAGCGCAAACTAAGGCAATGAAACAGGTTGCTGGTCGCATGAAACTAGAGCTCGCTCAGTATCGAGAAGTAGCTGCTTTCGCCCAGTTTGGTTCTGATTTGGATGCATCGACTCAATCATTGTTGAATCGAGGTGTACGGTTAACAGAACTTTTGAAACAAAATCAGTATGGTATGTTGGTCTTGAGCTAATCACTAATTTTATTTAGCTCCCATGGCAATTGAACAGCAAGTTGTCGTAATATATGCTGGTGTTCGAGGACATTTGGATAAATTGGATCCATCGAAAATTGTTCACTTCGAACAAGATTTCCTTAAGTTTGTCTTGGCAAACCACCAAGATTTGCTAAGGACTATTCGTGAAGTTGGAGAATTAAGTCCAGAAACTGATGAAAAACTAAAGAAGATTGTTGTTGATTTCATAGCTGGTTACCAAGTATCTGCATAGGAGATCAGATGATATATGCAACTATAGTAGTACTTTTACACAAAAATGATAAGTTACATCATGTTATCTACATGTTTTCGTCAGCACTTTTTACTTAGTCTTATGAACAATAAAAATGTACTTCAAAGCTGCGTATGTTTAGCTGGAAAGAGAAACTGAAAAACCATAGGACCACGCAAAGAATCAGTGTCATAATAAATATGTAGGTAGGCATAAATCAATGGAAAATAGAATTTTGGAGGGAAGTAGGGGTTTTATTGACTTCAAGTTGGTAAACTGACTAGTGCTACCTACTGCGAGACAACTGTCCGGTACCCCGGGTTTTCAATGGTTCCCCAACTGATTTCAGTCCATGATAAATAGCTTGCAACCAATAGGAAATAATTTGCCAAAGGGTTAAATGTATACTGGCTTTATCATTACTTATGCCTATTCGTTACTGGTATCTGATATCTCGGATATCAAAAAAGTGTAAATCTTCATAGATATCTCCCAATTTGGTGGTTGCTTAGCTTTTATGTCACAAACACCAGATAGTTTCAATTTAGCATTCTACACGGTCTTGTATTACAGAGTCATTTGAATAAGTCAGTAACCGAAATCCTGCATTTTACTCTTCATTAGACTTGGTAATTTCACGTGCATGACAGTTGTGATAATCTATACGAATGCAGATGAGCCTCTGTTCATAGACTTGGTATGTACTAGGCTTGAGGTACTTATATTTAAGACTTATGTAGGAACATCATTTTTCTGGGTGGAGACCATACCCACTTGCAATTTTCTGAGCATTTGTTTTCTAAAGTCGAACTTCATCGGTATTCCAATCATTATTTCCAGAATAATCTTAATAGAGACAAAACTGCTTAGAGGTGCTCACACTGGCAAACATCCACATCTTGTCATATTTTGAGCCGTTATAGAATTTTGAATGCACAGATGTACGATAGCATATACTAAGATATATATATATATATATATATATATATATATATATATATATATATATATATATATATATATATATATATCATTTTATTTATCCCTTGGGTTTCTAATGGAACATAGGGCTTCACTAGCACGTCTCCAGTGCACTCTGTTCTTTGAAATTTTTTGAATTTGGTTTCACAACAGCCCACTAGCTCTCATTTCTTCCTCACACGATCTCCTCCATGTCACCCTCGCCTCAGACGCTCAACTCGTCGCTTCCCATCTGGGTTCCACTCGAGGGCGTGGCGCATGATGTCCTCAATCGGCCTTCTCAGTGCATGCCCAATCCACCTCCACTTTCTTCTGCATATTCGTTCAGCGATAGGTCCTCGATTGGTTCGTTCCCAGAGTTCCTTGTTGCTGATTCTTTCTGTCCATCTGATCTTCAGTAACGAGCCAGCGTAGGCAGTTGTTGGCGAATGTCTGTAATTTGTTGGAAGTGCCTTTCGTGACGCGCCAAGTCTCTGAACCATACATGAGCACTGACTTGACGTTGGTGTTGAAAATCTGGATCTTGTTCTTTGTGCTGAGTGCAGGAATCTTCACACTGGTTTCAGGTTAATGAATGCATGTCTTGCTTTTCCGATCCTGGCTGATTTGATATCCTCGTCTGTACCTCTGCCTGTAGTTGAAACAGTGCTGCCTTGCCTGAGTAGGTGAAGGAGGCTACTTTTTTTTAAGGTTTCCTTGATGGTGATTGGAGCTTGTTGTTGTTGGTGGGGTTGGTTGGGTATGTTCATCACCTCTGTCTTCTCTACGTTCACTTGAAGGAAGTCCCGTCTTCGCTGCCTCACCTCTTCTGTCAACTTGTTAGTTTTCGCCTGTAGATCTTCAAGTTTGTGCGACATCAGACACAAGTCATCGGCGAAATCCAAATCTTCTAGGTTCTTTTCCGCGGTCCAGCCAACGTATCCCCCTCTTCTCGCTGCTCACTGTTTGTTGCATGATCCAGTCCACTACAATCAGGAAATTTATTAAGATAGGATGGTCATAATCTATTCAGTCCAAGATGTTTGTAGAATGATACAATCGTTTGACCCCTCGTCCAAGTATTCTTTTACATCAGTCACGTTAACTTCTACAGTAATGGCAACTAGTAGATCAACTGGTGTTTCAGAAACAGTAGTAACTTCAGTGCATCCGTCAATAAGGACTTGACTACATTTTGTTTCCAGTCTGTTGAAGCAGCTGGAAAGTGTATGTACTTAGTGAAAGGTGTCCAACTTTGAGGTCCATATTATACTCCAAAGGGTACTCACATGTGGACATACGGGCTAGACCGCAAACTCACGCAGTTTCACACCTACTAGCAATACTTGAGTGATCAAGTCTCAGTAGTTAATATTCAAGGCTGCGACTCATGAGTCAAGTGAATGCCTAGCACGATCAACTACGGGGAGAGGAACACTGATCGGTGGTTTTAAATTCCTTGTGAAAGATAAATGTGTCTTTTTTTATGGTAGGAGTCATTTCCCTCCCGTCAAGGTGGAGTACTTCATAAAAGACTGCCTATGAGAAATGGGGTCGATGTTTTAAGGAATTCTTATTTACAGGAAGAGTGGTGTAATGCCTTAAATGTTTTGTGTAACTTAGATAAGTTTTTCAGTTCGATTTTAAACAGCAGGATCTTGATGACTTACTGTTACGCGTTTTTTGTTTGGGATGATCTTTCCTCAACGTTTTAACTTGTGAGGAGGACTTATTACCGAACGTACACGGTACCTTGTCTAATAAGTTTTCTGAAAACTTAAGTCAGTCCGAACTGGTGACATATCTGCCCAACAGTTGGAATGGCTAATGGTGTACTGATGCCATAAACTCAGCAGTGATAATCTGTCAACGAAAGCAACTGTATCATTAGGCAGAACAGCAATAGCAATCCGTTTTTTGCCATTTTGTCTTGGTAACATTATTTGCCTGTGATTTAACCACTCAGTGGACAACATTGGGCTCACGTATAGAGTTGTAAACAATGATATCGCCTTTCAGTGACATTTTAGATTCGCACCAGCTGAAATGGCGATGGCACGTTAGGCATGCCGTAACGCTGCCCACCAAAACATGCAATGCTAGTCGAAGTATGACTAGGTTGGAAGAAAACTAATGGCCAAAACAAAGCCTCACGCCGGTTGTATTCCTTGATTCGGAAGTGAACTTGGTCGAGAGAGTGGCAGTTAGATTTATCACATTGCTGAGGACTACTCGAACAGCTGTGGTTGCATGAGTGCTTACTGTGACTCACTGCCTAAAGTGGTTGTGACTAACTGCATTTGTTAAAAGTGTCTGCTCCCTTATCCACCTTCGCCACGAACTTTCTACATTCAATTTCTCTTGCCCTGTTCGATCTACTACTTCTACTAGGAAATGTTGACAACGTAGTCCATTCACATGAGGCTGTTGGCAGTGTGAAGTTCTGGTGTTATTTACTTGGTTGCAGCTAGCAGGGGAATCCAGGATGTGCGCTTCATCATACGTGGCCAGCCAGATGTGATTCTATTGTAATGATGGTATTTCCACTGGAACTCGAATCCAGCGCCCACTGCTTCGAACTTCTGGACGTTATCCACGAGGTTACTGAATCACGAGGACCACCTCTTGTCCAGTGTGTATCACTTATTGTCCATTGATGATTGTAATTTCCCGCTGATTATTGGACTGGGCTGACTTGACTGGTCTCCTGTCACCAACACCAACCAAATAACATTAAAATGAAACTTGAGACAGTGCGGAGCACCCATTTAAAGGTTTTTCTGCCAAGCGACCCATCAATCCTATCTAGTATACTAATCAATGGTAAATTACAAGCATCGATGAATAGTGTGTAGTTTTGTGAACACACGCAGGAATATCTGAATGCTCCTAGTTACTCCTTCGATTATATTCTCTCTTGCTTCCTTAGTTTAATTATCATTGTTGTATTTACTTCTCAAATTTATGCTATTCTGTATGTTAGGTCCTATGCAGTTTCTTTGCACATCTAGCCAAACTATGTAGACTGAATATATCTTTTTCGGACAACACTCTAAAGTGACTAACGACGGAAATTTACAAGAAATAATAGTCTATACCCATTAGACAAGGAGCGTTCATCGTGGCTGAGTGGATAACGCTCTGGCGTCTGACGTAAAGAGTTCAATTCTCAGGGAGAATAGCATCCAATGGGAGGCGGCAGGTAGTTTTAACTGGGTCCCAGTAAGACAAAGCATGCCCTAAATTCCACTCCTAGCCAGTAATCATTACTACCAAGACTGAAAATAGAAAGGCTCCGCACAGAAGCTCATGTACCAATTTTAGCCGACCGACTTGGACTAGTCAACGAGAGAAAGTTACAGGCTATGACATCCAATTAAAACAGACTTTAGTTCCTGAAAAAAAAATCAAGTGATAATGTCAGCGTGATTGGATGGCTGTTCTGCAAAGAGTGTTAAGGTTGAAGATGAGTCGCATGTTTTATTTAAGATTATTGTTGAGATTCTTTCTGGTTAGAGTAAATATGACACATGTAGGTTGTAAACCGTCACCTACTGACGTGGCTCGGACATGTGTTGCGCACAACGACTCAAAACCTTTTTTCACGTGCAATTTCAATCGGTCAGATTAGGTTGAAAAAGGCTAAGGATTGGCCATATCAAGGTATGGGGTCAGCCGATGAAGTCTCTAACTGGTGGTCTGGGTCATCTAGGTGCTAGACTGCATGAATGGGGTTCTCGAGGCGGTAGAGACCAATGTTTGGAGGTCGCTGAAAGTCAGTCACAATGGTCCAGATGTACACTGATTTGTGATGCCTGGACATTTTACTAACACATTTAAAAATGTCTTCATATGCGAGTTTTTCGACTTTTATATCACTTTTATACCCACTTATTCTTTATGTACTGCTGTAAAGTGATTTTGTCTTTCTGACATTTGTTGGACTATGAACTAGCGTATGGTCGACACCAGAAAAAGTCTCATTAGGACTGCTAACTTTGAACCAAGATGAGGTGTTTATGATTAGCAATGAACTTTATAGACTTTCTTTCACCAACTAGAGGAGACTGCGATGACTGGCACAAGCTGAGCCACAAGTATAATCTGTACACGATTAACAAGGCTGTATTACTTGTAAACAACTTGAAACTTGTTCATTTGGTATTGTTTTGGTCCTGTCGACATATATTTTATTCTTTCTCTTGTTTTTTCTTTGGATGTGTAACTTCACCTTATCTTGATTAGTTTTTGTAACACTGATTATTTGCACCTATCGACATCATGATTTCAACTTATCTACAACTATTAAACTATAACCATCTAACATATGGTTTTGTAACACGTTATATTTTGAGTGCTGGAAGTGCCCCTTATTGGTCGGTTGTTCAACTTCAAGGGAAGTAGTTCTCATCTTGAAATCCTTTGACATGTGAAATCAATGTGCAACCCTAGTTTAAAGTGCTTTCTCTAAATAGGTTGGTTACAGTAGGGATTTCTTTTATGAGAAGCTTTCAAGATAAGTGTTGGATTGATGGTACTCATCAAAAGGATTACCAAATAGTGAGTGGCAATTTTGTTTACTACATACAAGGAGAAAATCAGTAGGTCTTGTCATGGTGACATTATGAATTATGGCTCATTCGTCTGAACACCTGAATTCCAGTCTGTCAGTCATTGGCTCGAATCGCGCTCCACCAACTGACTTTTGCGCAGCCAGTTAGTGTCGTTTGCCCACGCACAAAAAGTGTGGTTATTACCTGTTGCACGGACGTGCACGTTTTTGTTAGGTCGTATTTCATGTCTTCAAAATGCATCCGATTTCAGTCAACTGGAAATGAAATGTTAGGATGATTTGCTGAAAAATGAAGTGTAAGACTAGTGGTATTATTTGCCAAACAAGTACTTGTATAATTAATTATCCAAGTTGGGCATTAAAGAAATCAGTGAGGCCAATTTCGCCTGATGAAAGTCTCTAAGTTTGTATGTTTGA